TTAGGTATGCTGTGCATTTTATTTCGCGTGTGTGTGTCCCGTCGCTTATTCTGTAATTAGTATTCCATGGACACAGGTTTCCTGCGGCGGTCGCTCACAGAGATGTTTACTGTCGGCGTTTTTTTTTTTTTCTCCTTCCTTCTCCCCATCGTGCAGCTCCGATCCACATCATGCGCGCATTTCATTTTTTTTTTTTGCCTTCCGTCCTCCTTCCTTCCAAGTTGTGGAGATGTTTAATCGATCTGTTTTAAAGATGCAAGCAGTTTTTTTTATTATTATTTATTTACTGTGAAAACGTGTCATCGATCCGGAACAGGTGCGCCCTGCGAACTTTTTTTTTTTTTTTTTTTTCCCTCCTCCTGCATTGTGCAGGTGTTGACAGTTAATGCGCAATGATTGATACTTAACAGTGGGGTCAAAGCAGCCGGGTCACACGAGTGCACAATTGCTGACCAGGAGAAGGCTACCTGCTGATTTCCACTGCAAAGAGTCCATGTCAGAGAGTCACTCAGTACTGTGAACTGCACAATCTCATTTTTCTTTATCCTGTGAAATGAGAGGAGAAGAAAAAAAAAACACTGCCTGCAGCATGAAACTCAACCTATTTTCAATCAAATTAAGACTTTGTTAAAATTAAAAGATCTGCTCCATTTGAGGCTGAGATGTTTCGAGGAAAATGCATGAAACTAATAGCTGCAGTGGGAATAAGTGGAACCATCCCAGAAATTGGCTGAATGTTCTACTTGTTCAAGGACCAAAAGGAAGGAAAGATGACATTATGGATCAATGCACGATAAAAGGACTCATTGAGATGGATATTTCTTTGGTTATTTTTTTAAACAAAGTGCATCAAATTACTCCTGACTTTGCTGCTTGTGTTTGTGTCCTGCGAGCCACGTAGTCACCACTACGAGTGCAGCAGTGAGTTGTCTTAAAATATCTCCTTATATTATCATGCAGCTGCAAGGAAATAAAGATTTATGATTGTGTGCTTGTACGTGCAGAACTGGAGGTCTCACCTGAGCAACTTTTTAAAAGCATAATCCCAGAAATACTTGCAAGAATCTGCAAGGTAGTTTTTTTTCTTCTTGCTTCCATCACTTGAAAATGAACTACAGTGACTTTTAAAAATCTGCTTTTCTTCAATTTAACATGAATCCACTTGCTTTGCAGTGCTTCGTTCTGCAAGCCTGGCATCGTTTTCACAAGTGATTTTAATTTTAAAACGGAGCTAATTCCTATCTTAAGCACAAGGATCAGATCCATGCATGTGTAAACATCTTTTTTTCTCCCAGAGCGACTTTGGATCATCTAGCAAAGGATGATTGGTGGATTCAGTGAGATGAGATATTAGAAGTCAGTGAGCGGGAAGACCCCCCCTCTCCTACTGTAAGCAGAGGGCTCGGGTTCAAGCTCCTGCATCAGCAACACTCAGGACTGTAAACGTCCTTGAAGAAAGCCCCCAGTAGGTCCACGGTTATTGTCGCTCTGTAGCTGACCCCCGTGCTCCAGTTTCCTCGAGAAGAGACACAAAGAAAGAGGGAAGGTCTCGGTGAAAAATCAATAAACCGCCATGTTATTATTATTTATGTGGAAGCTGCTCATATTCAGGCCTCTTTTTAATGACCACCAGAGCTTCAAATGGCACTAAAACTCAGAAAGAGTCTACAGTCTACACGTTGGTTTCCTTCAGCAAATTGTAGAAAAAATCAACATACTTCTTGCTTACGTGACACAATAATCCGTCTCCATGAAGTGTCCCAAACCCTGATTGACTTAAGTTCGCAGTAGTTGTTGTTGTGAGTTTTTTTTTTTTGGCTCAGGAGCGAAGACGCTGCACATTCACAATGATGGAGGAGAATATGGATCAGAGGAAGCGTGTGATTGGTTACTGAGCGCTGTAGCACTGGTAATCCTGTTGTGAGACTGGCAAATGGGATTAGAACACTGTGTGTAAGAGAAACAGAGCCGAGGGATGACTGGGAGGCTTTACATTCACGGCTTTATCTCACATTTTCACTTAATTTAGGCGTCATCGCTTTGACATCGGCCAACGACGGCTGCGAGGCCCCTCCCTTGTCCGTCCAGCGCGTGGACCTTGAGAGGCTCGTATTGCTGAACCGGCTCAGTCAAAACGCTGATATTGTGTGATTGTATTTGAATACTTGAATGATAAGAGGAAAGAATAGTTTTTTTTCTCTGCAGGGTTGAAAACTTACTGAAGCATTTGGCACCAAAACATTGTAAAAAAAAAGAGGCTTTCAGGCATGATGACCCACCCTGGTTATTCAAGAAAATGCTAAATAACTGACTCTAAATGAAGAGTTTGACATCTGGAAGTTGAAGTGAAACACACAGACGAAGCCAGTTCTTGAGGCTTCATGTTTTTTTCCCTCTTTGGTCACATTAAGGCCTGTTTAACTCCCATCATTCCTACAGATCACAGCTAATTTGACACCTTTACTTGGGATTTTTTTTGGCAAAGTTTTCTGTTCATTGAGTTATTTTTTTTCCCATCTTCCTCCCCCCACCCCATACCACGGCTACGCTACGTTACGCTCGGCTTACTGTCAATCACCTGACTCCGGCTAGAAGCAGAAATGGAAGCCTTCATTAGAAAGTAGTCTCACAAAGCGCTCTTGTCACATCTTTGTTTGCCAGTGGGGCTGTAAATTTCAATCTGACGCTTTAATTTTTAAAATGATAAACAACCATACTTTATTGGACAAAAAAAAAAGAAAAAAAAAAACCCATTGATTTCTCCCCGCTGCATGAATTGCCTAATAATTTAAAATCAACTAGACAGTAAATCAGCAGAAACTCATTAAATAAAAAGCCAATATCTGCTTTATTGAACCCACAACTACATTAGCGTTATCTCCCGTCCGCGTCTCTCCCATCTTCCGTTGGTGTCCGGGCTTTAGTGAAATGAGAGGCATTAACTTGGCCGCTTGGCTCAAACTGACCCTGTGCCCATCTCCTCTCCCACAATACCACCGCTGCAACCTGCCTTCACAACTCGTGCTGCCCTGCAGCCAGATCTGCTCTACTTTCCACCTCTACCATTAAATTGTCATGTAGAGGCTGTGACTTTGAATCTCTGTGTTAATGTGTGTTTGTGTATTGCAGCCTGAGTGTCTTTTTTTTTAGTTTATAATAAAAGCACAGGAAGATCAGGGTGCTATTATAGCTTTATGGCTTTTTTGGATAAACTTGTGCCCTGTAGTGGTTTGCAAAAAAATCCTGCATCCTTCCATAAACAAAGCAGGTTAAAAATAAATCACCAGGACGCCTCTCTCACAAACATCGAGGTGTCTGCCGAGGTGACAGTCATCCCGTTGTGATTTGTTTCTGTATTAATTATTAGCGCCGGCTAATGACTTTGCTGCGGCGAAGTACAACAAATCACTTCCACAGGATGTGTGGTGTGCTGTTTTTATTTTGCTGGGGGGGTTTGGTGGTGGTGGTGGTGGTGGTGGGGAACAGAGAGGAAGTAAAGTGAGAAGTGGAGAATCTGTGTGGGAAGAAAGAGGTCACTGTATGCCAAAGCAATTACCTTCCTCATCCAGGGCCCTGCCAATACCCGGCGTAGAGGAGAGAGAAAGAGAGGTCAGCGAGGAAATAAATATATGTGTGGTCAAACGCTCAGTTTTTCTGAACGTCTGCTTTTCAGAACACCTCCTGAAGTTTAAAGCGTCTGAGCCCTACCTGAAGACGATGCATACATTTCGCCAGCGAGCTCCTTATTGAGGGAATTTGCCGAAGTCATTGTGAGGTGTCGGATTGGACTGATAATAGCGGCAATATTTTGAAGTTTATGTAATTGCTCGACTACTCAGGACTGTCAGGATGTGTTGTGACATGAAGAACATTATCTGTCAGGAGCTGATGCTTTTCTTCGCCGTGACAAGTCTTCATGTTCCTGGCATCTTGGGGGATCTGTCACAGCGCGACGACGCCAGGCAGACAGATCCCACCCCACCCCCACCCCCCTTTTGCATGTGTTTGGGCCGGGGCAACAGACTGCTCGGTGGTAGAGGTCAGGAGCGCCCGGGCCATCGCCGTGCTGACAGCTCAGATTTATTTTTAATCCCCGTGATGAGAGCCCGCCACACAGATCATGTGGCTTGTTAGCGTCGGAGAGCTCCTCCACCATTACGCCGCGATCTTATACAAAGAAAATGCGACAAAATAACGACCTTGGCGAGGTAAAGCCCAGATAATTGAGAGCCAGCTGAATGGCGTTTGATTGTTATTCTGCGCAGCCACTGTTGTTTCATTCACTGTGAAATCTCTTTGCTCGCATGCACTGAGAAGCCGGGTCATATTTTTGTTACCCCCCTCCTTCCTCCTCCCATCTTACTCTTATTAACATCTGACCTCACCCTCTGTTCTCCTTTGGCGTGCACGTTAGGTGAGAGTGTGCACGTGAAGGGCGTTTTGTTGATTGTATTTACTGTCTATTCATTTTTGACCAATTTCTTCCTGATTGGTGAAAAATGTCATTATCATTGCATCAGCAGCCACATTACTTGCTGTCTAAAGTGACTGCGGTCACAGAGGCAATTTTGCTGACGGTCCTTTCTCTCTTCTCTCCTCTATGTCTTTGTCTCTCTCTTTTTTTCCCTCTCTCTCTCTTCTGATAGGTGCCAATTATAAAGGCCCCCGTGCTGAAGCCTCCCCGGTCGCCGGTGACCCTGTTAGCCAGCTTTAATGTCAACTCTCTGGCTCCAAAGTGGAGGGAATTACCCCACTTTTAGTCTGCAATCAGGGAAAAAAGAAGAGCAACACGGCAAAATGCAGAGCTTGACTCTGTTTCAACCCATGCGCTCTCTTCCGGCTCCGACTGCTCTTGTTTTCTGGTGAAACACAGGGTCAGGACTGTGCGGATAAAACCCCGAGGGTTTTGACATTTCAGGTCTTCTGTCTTTTTGAGTTTTTAATTTTTTTTTTTTTTTGGCTCCTCTTCTGGCCTCGGTGCATTTTGGAGAGGGGCCCAAATGATGGGGTGGTGTTGCTCAGGCATATGCAGAACCCTGGCTTTCCTGGCGCTCCTGTTTCCCCCGTGGGAGAGGGGCTGCTGGGGGCTGAATCCCAGCTCTGGGGATCTGGAGAAGTCCCCTCACTCTGAGCCAGACCCCTGGGAGGTCCTGCACAGACACAAACGCAGCTGGGTATGGAACCAGTTCTTCGTATTGGAGGAGTACACGGGGAACGAACCGCTCTACGTTGGCAAGGTAAGCGATGTGTTGTTACGAGGCAAATGAAACAACAATGTCAAATCTGTCTCTGGCTTCGGAAAAAAATAGGAAAAACCGATTCCCACAGCTTCGCAAACCCACTTTTTGTTGTGCACCTGTACAGTAATACACATATCAATAACCTCTTACCATAATGACCTGAGAAATCTGGGACACAGTTGTACATATTCCCATTGTCCTACATACAAACGTTAAACAAATGAAAAGACAAAACGCAGACGGTGTGGGAAGGCATTCTGCATTTTCTTCCAGCCAGGTTGAAGTATGTGCTCGCTAGAAATGCCCACTTTTAGTTTAGAGATCGTCGCAACGATGTGACAAGGTAATTTGCATTATAATCAGCTCCCAGAAAAGGTATATATTACTCAAATGTGTCTTTGTACAGTAGGTGTTCTGCCAAGGTACAAGCAGATAGATCAAAGTAATGCCTGTTTTGGCAGGTAAATAAGTATGAAACCCTCCCGATGACATTTAAAGCAAGGCACAAATGGCATAGTTAACGTGAGGGTACACTGACAAAGTGATTAATCATGCTTTTATGAGATATGGCTACGCTGCACTTCTATTACGGATCGCATTTCCTCAGGTAAATAGCAGGAGTGGGAGAATCATATAGATACCTCATTTAAACCTGGATCATGTGGTGGTAAAATGCTCAGCTACGAATAAAAATTACATTTAAGAGTAAAATGCAAATACAGGATAGGACATTTGAAGCATGTAAATGGAGCACAAGACACTGAACTGTAGTTGCAAAGAGATTAAGAGCATCCAGTGGTATTTATATAGTTACTAAATGCTTCAGAAGGTTCTCTAAGGCTTGATTCAAGCCGAACAATACACTCTGCTGGGCATCAGTCATGGATCATAAGAGAAGCCATAATTGTTGTCGTTAATAAACACTTAAAACGTGTTTAAGGATTAAGGGTGAGCTTTCAAATGCCTTTAAGTTTGTTTACATTGTCGTACGTTGCTTATTTCTTCCTATGAGGACAACTTTCTAAGTGGTGAGGAAGAGGAGGTTTATGTGGCACACTGTAGTTTCCCTTTTAAAGGTGGAATCTACAGAAAGATGGTGGAAAGATTGGTGATATTTACCTTGTTGGCATATCTAAATTTGCCATATTTCCTTCCCCACCCTGTCCTTTGCACACAGGACAAACTGGATTAGTGTTGTCTGGATCGGTCCGAGCCACTTTGTTCGCCATTTACTAAGCACACATACAGAACACCTAGAATTATTCACAGAAAACTGAAAAAATGTGTTAAATGCAGTGGAGAAGAAGCACCAGCCAGCCAGCACAGACCCGAAATAGTCAAGTTGTATGCAAATATTGGATGGCAGTCGCTATAGCTGCCAAATGAATACTAGAAAACATACAATAGTTCTGCTGGAGTGGAAAGCATCACTCTAATAAAACACAAGTAGCTGAAAACTGCAATGCAACATAACTCTAATTAAGATCCACACCTATTTTATAAAGAACAAAATCAAATAGTTTTGCAGTTGAAGCCACAGTGTGCAGCAGCTTTCAGCACCGCCGTATAAACGGACAGCTCCTGCTGGAAAGGGGCCCTCGCATGTGCAGCTCGAGCCAGATGGGTCTTGGATTGGTCTCTAGATCCCTGTTATCTTGGAGAATTTTCTGGTCTTATTATTAAATTAGTTTTCATCTTTCCGCTCATCTGCGGGATAATCATTCTCATCTGCATGTATTTGCTGGGTCTGCTCTCGCAAGCCCATTTTCTTGCTGTCTCTGAACTGGATTAGCGTCTCCAGCTGGAATTAGGATACATTTGACTGTCCCATTGTTTTCCTCCCATTTTTTTTTTTTTTTCCCTTTCTTTGCCAGAGGGATGCTGGAGGAAGGCATCTAAATCAAAATGAGCATATTTGTGACACTGCCGGAGTTCGGCTAAAGGTCATTTCTTGTCCGAGCGTCCGCGGTAATCTAAAAGAGCGCCTTGTCTGATCTGTGCGTCCCCAGATATCTGTTATATCTGACTACTGCGGAGAGCGTTTTTTTTTTTTTTCTTTCGCTCGTGAACATCTGTACTGGGTTGTGTGATTCAGTTGTTTTGTCCTTGCCCTGCGTTGCCCATTTTGGAAGTTAAGAAAAAAAAAAAGGCCACAGAACTGCAGTCAGGAATTTCGAGTGCCTCTTTTCTTTTACACATGCTTGTGTCTGATTGCTTTTCTTGTTAGTAAATCCCAAAGGACGTGAACAGGCTGATTACTTATTCATAGATGTGTAGAGATCTGCTTATCCACATGGAATATACACAAACTCATTTGCGAGGGCCCTTTCTAAGAGGTTGCCTTTTTTTTTTTCTTTTTCCCCATAAATGTATTGATTGATCTTTTAGTTTTTCTTTTTTTTTTTTCTGCGTAGCTTCGCCAGGCTCGGGCGAAGACGACATGGCAGCAGGCGTGTAAAAAAGTCAGCCCGGCTACATCTTTACATCTGACCTCGTGCCCCGGCTCAATCTAACCCCTTTCAGAATTGTAAAAGATCAGATTCATTTAGTCCCCCGCGGGCAGAGCAGGCTGCCCGGGAGCTCGGGAGGCTGTCACATTATTTGTTCCCTTAGATCATAGTTGTCACATAGTGTGCGTTTGTTTGGTATCACAAGGGCACGCCGCTGCTGTAAAAAGTCTGGGCGGGACACCCTGACCTCGTGACTCAGCGTGAGCGACATGGAAGGTCCTGCCGTGTCAAGAAAATGACCTTCCTAGAAATGAATTCTTCTTTGAAAAAAAAAAAAAAACAACAAACCTGATGCAGGCGAAGCTCCACACGCGGCTCTTACGTTTTCAGCAGGTTATAGGCAAAAAAAAAAATAGCAGACTGACATGACCAGTAATTGCTTTTGTCAGATGTATCCGGGTATCTAATATGACAAACAATGGGGGCCTGTGTGTCCAAACAATGGCACGGCGGCTGCACAATTTGGTCATTTGTTTGGCTGGAAGCAAAGGGAAATATGATACAGTCGGTTGGGAAATGGGAAGTCATCACTTTGGCCTGGCTGCTCCCTTTGCATCTGCAGTCTGCTTGGCTTTAATGCATTCTGTCAGATTCTGAATTTCACAACCAAATGTCTCATTATGCCTTGGCACTCAGCCCCGGGTAAGTGTACTGGCCTGGAATCAGCTGCAGTCACATCAAGCCGGTGGAAACATACATTAAAGAAACCTCAAACTACACACAGGCCTCCACCGCAAATTGGTGACGCACATATTTAAACAAGCCAAAACGGCGGAGCAAGTCATCCACTTAGCAAACACTTACTGCTAGACATGATGTGATTAACGTTTTCTGCGGGGGCATTCATGTGACTGAAATATTTTTTTTGCAAGTGTCGAAACGTACCAGTCGGCGGCGGCGGCGGCTGCTGAACGAGCGATGTCGGAAGCGTTGCAATTTTTTGTTCCGCTTGGATGTTTAGATCTTTGTTTTGTTAATGCGTCGACTCTCCTTGCTTTGCCCTTTTTGTAAAAACCACTCCTACAAGCTTTTTTTTTTTTTCTCCTTCCATATCTGTTTATGTTCAAGTGACTGGAGAGAATTCGCAGCCTTTGAGTCAGAGTGTTGCTTCGCATCACGGGAAGTACAAGCGCACAGACTCAGCCCTTATGCTGAATCTCACTTATTTATAGAGATGTCTTCAAAATTGGCAGTCTGACTAACCATCCGCGTAATGGATGGACTTATTTCACCTTATAATTCAAGCTGCAATCAGGCGGCATTAGCCCGGACTCTCCTGCTATGCTCACGAAAACATGACTTCCTGTGCAAATAAAAGAACCCGAGAAACCATCTCCTGATGGAAGCATCTCTTGTATGTGAGCAACAAGCTCAACGGGGAGTTTTTTCTTTATTCCTACTCCACAAGTGCGAGCACCAGCACTTTAAATGTTATTTTTATGCATCATGAGCGGTTTCTGACCCAGTAGCGAGAACCTGGTGTTGTAATTGACAGTAATTCAGTTTAATAATCAAACAATATGCATCAAGGGCAGCAGGGATACTCCCACAGATAATTACACCGGAGTGAACATAACATGTTACCGTGCAGGCTCCTTCATTAGCATTCCGTGTGACGTTCACTGTCAAATGGGTTAGAATCATAGAGCACAGGGTGCTACTGCAAAGGTCAGTCTCAATAGCATCTACTCTGGCTCGCTGGTGCCGCAAACACATCGGCGCAGCTGGGGAGCGGCGAGAGCAGCATGTTGAGCCGGAGAGGAGGGTGATTGGAGCTGACAGAGGAGGAGAAAGAGAGGAGAGGGGGGGGACATTGAACGCACCGCACCCAGGGACGGGAGCTGGCATAGTGGGGGAGTTCATGAGGCATCCTGGGGGCCTGTGGGATGGTGGGAAAGCCTTTATCTGAGCCAGGGAATCAAAGGGGATAAAAACGGCAGCGCAAACGAGACGAGAGGGTCGTTATCAGCGGGGTGGGGGAAAGGACAGGAGAAGGAACGTTGTTTACACTTCTCGCTCACAAATAGGGGCTGGAGTCGACGGCGGGGCAATTTTTAGACCGGTGAAGTTCAGGTCCACAAGGAGGTCAGGACAAAGTCAAGGCAGCGGAGTTTAAACAGAGACTGATTCGAGACCAAAACGCGTTTCTCCCTTCAACTAATAAGGTCACAACTACACAAAAACATCCACTAATAGCTCTGTTTTGTTTGATATTTGATCATATTTTACAATAAACTAAGTTGACTTTAATGAACTCTAATCGGTGTTTGTTATGCGAGCGACAAGGCAGGAATCCATTCTAGCATGTAAACAAAACCAAACAAGACATTTTAACATTCAACTCGCTGAACTCCAGAACCTGCCGGTGGTTTTAAAAGGCATGTTTTTGTTAAACAAATCCCCTAAACTGCATTTTTATTGTATTTATCAGAACAACAAACTTTAAAAACAGATTCAGATTGTCAGATTTGTAACTTTTTGATGCTT